AGCCAAGAAGTTAGTATGTCAGCGGAAGGTGAACCGACTCACTTCTCTAAGCTGGACGTGAACACTATGAAGGTACGCGCGCATCCGAAGACCATTAATCCATTTGTTTAGGTCAATGATTTGCGGGCTGAGCTTGCCGCTCGCCATCTGGATATCAAAGGTGTCAAGGCCAGTTTACTTGCTCGCCTTCAGACTGCGTTAGAGGAGGAGAAAAAGGCTGAGGTGGGGGAACCGAAGCCCGAAGAGGCGCCTAAAACGAGTAAGTATGGTTTTCAAACCATCAGGAAGTTTCACACAAACCATCCGGTGCTGAAGATTCTTCTCCAAGTCATCCCCTCGCTTGTAACGCCCTTCTTTTTACTTGTTCAGCCGAGGATACACCCACTAAACCGGCTGCTCCCTCGGGCCAGCCAAAGGAAGAGTCCAAGGAAATTTCTGAAAAAGACCGTCGCCGCTTGGAGCGTCTCTATCGTTTGGGGGATAAGCCGGCAATCCTTGTTTTCCCTAACAGGGCTGCTCGTGGTGGTCGATTCGATTGTCATCGCGTCTCACTTCACTCACTTCTCAACTATCAATCTGGGGAACAAAAGGAACACAATTTCGAAGTTTCTCTATTTGCGGAACAGTTCCATGAAATGTTGCAGCGTGATTGCGCCTTCAACATCTTCAAAGCTATCTACAGCGCTCCCGAAAAGGACCCTAAAGAGGCAAAGTACGAGGAACATTATTCGCCTATATGTAGTAGGATCTCACTGATGCATATGGCTTAGTCAGCAATGTCACCATTGCTGTGGGGTCTGATGGGCATAGGGGGACTAGTCGGTTGTCCGTCGCTGTCTCTATGATGCTGTCATTTTTTATATAACAAATTAAGGGAGAATTTTTTCTCTTGTAGACCTGAACAAAATGGGGTCTCGCGTGATGGTTCCGATGAGCCAGAGTCCAAACGGCGAAGGAATGAGAGTGAAAGCAGTCAAACGAACGATGACGAAACCGGAAAAGTTCGGCGCCTGCGTCGGACGGTTGACCCCAAACTCTTGTTCTCTTTCGTTTATTTCGACAGTGGCCTTTCGGGTTTCATTCGAGATTACGACTTGGTAGATATCCTCCACTTGCTGAATCTCGCCTATTCGAAATCCCAAGTAATTTATTTTGTATATATTCACATAAGCTCTAGATGAAAAAGCTGGTTGCAAAGGTAACTACGCGTCGGGACCACGTACAGTACCGTAACCTGACTGACAAGGACATTGTCGAAGGCGATACAAACGACGTTATTTCACTAAAACTGGAAGAAAATGATCCAGAGTTCCTCCGCGACTTGGCTGCCGGCAACGATCTCTTGTTCGGTGGTGACAAACCACAAGTTCCGCCGAAGTAAGTTGGTTTTGACATTAACGCAGTATCCTCAAGGGCTGTCGTTGTAGGCTCTGCTGGCGACGCCAAACTTCTAGAGAGAGTGCAGGCTGCTGAAGAAGTTAAAAGATCGACAGAGTTCCAGTTCTTCCAGATAAAGGACGAATTAGGTGAGTTTTTGCAGACTCGTTTGACTTTTGTTTAGAGAAAACGCGCGTTAAGTTGAACTCTTGCAAGGACACAGAGGAGAAGCTCCGCGGTGAGAACCGAGATCTGCAGATCAGGCTAAAGGAAGAGCAGAAATCTAGCCGCGACAACAAAGTCCTGGTGGGCACGTACAACCATCTACTAAAGCACTCGAGAGATATGATGTCAAACGCTGTTGTTGAAATCGATAAGCAATTTGAAAAGGAAAAGGCCAAACGTGAAGCCGAAAAAGCAGCAGCTGAAGCAGAAAAAGCCAAGGCTGAGGCCGAGAAAGCGGGTGAGGGAAAGACTGAGCCGGAGGGGGAGAAGAGTGAGGAGAAGGAATGGGAGGTTGTTGATCAAGTGTAATCATGTCCCTGAAAAACCGTGCATTTCGTACATTTTTTATCTGTTATCTAAATACAAAGCATGTCAAATCACGATCCCCAAGTTCGCTTATTTTTATACTTCGTTTTAAAGTAGGTACGATTATACCGAATGGTCCGCTTTGAATTGTGGCAAGTAGTTGGACTGCCGATACCATATGTATCCGTGTTTCCATCTGAAGTAGTACATCATTTTCTCAAGGAGGCCAGTTTACAGTGCAGTGGGCTCACTGCTTCCTCGCACGATTTGAGCATATGGTAACTAGATGCTTTACACTTATATTTGCGGGGCGCCGAACGTGCGTAGGAATTGGGCTTAGTGTCAGTCAAAACTTATTATCTGGTATTCCGGCCGGTTGGTTTATCCTTGGCATTGACTCGTGCAGGAAGCGAGCTAGGCGAAGCTGATAAAGCGCGAATAACAAACTAGGTAGGTCCCCAATGGTATTTTTTAAGCCATTAGTCGACTTACCTAATTCTGCGGAATGGCTCATTTGCGATCTGCATGCAGTCTGGTTGTGATAGCCGTTTCCTAACGTGGCATTTGCGTCACTTGCCGTTGCGGCATCGGGATTAGCAGCCTGGTTTTGCGTGGGGCGCTGATATGGGCCTCTATATCAGTACGGTAACCGCGCGCACAAGGTTGCGGGGACAATGAAAAGTGATGGGTGATGTGCAGCCTAGTCTGTGATGCCCTGGTCTTTTCACTGTAGTGAAGGCCAT